TTCTAGATATTGGTTCTTTCATAAATATTCTCGGGCTATGTTTGATTAATCGTGCTAATGGGCCCGGCTCAATGACCCGGCTCAAAAACAGGGCGCCGAGTCAGCTCCCCCTCGAATTACTGGCGCCCTGTTTTTTGTCATAGTCATTGAGTCGGGACAAATGACTTTAGCCATGTTTGATAGCCCTTTTTTTCATGGGAAAAATGGTTTCCATGTTAATTTTTTTTTTTTTTAAAAAAAATTTTTTTGATAATGGACATAAATTTTATAACCAATTGTAAAAATTAAAAAAAATTCATTTAATGAACAATTTCCATAAAAAAAAAAAAAATAAAGCCAAAAGAACACCCAAAGATCCAAAATTTAAATATTTTTCACGTAAAAAATTATGTCAATCAAATACAATTAATTGACAATTTCGAGGAAAACAATTCTAAACAATTCAATTCCCTGAAATTCATTTTTTTTCCACCTAAATTTCACTTTTACAATCAAACATACCCTTACAAATTGAATCTCAAGGAAATTTCACTAAGTTGGAGGCAAGAGTTAATTAGGTTGATAGTACAAATGCAACATTTTCATATATGACAAATTTAAGTTGAATTTCAACAACAACAAAAATCCAATATTGTAGCATTTTCTTCTATCATTTGAAGAGTTTTGAATGACATTTTCTCTCATGAATAAAGATGGAATAATTTGCAGTCATCGTTGACCAATTATTGAACCTATTTTTTAAGAAGTAAACTCAACTACCATGGCAATAAATTGTACTCGATAAATTTCACTTACACTACACACTACATATAATTTCCATTTGAATATAACGATGAATATGTTTAACATAAAAAGGGCATTACTAAGTAATGGTAGGGGTTAAATATTGCAACTCGGCCATGATTTAACTCATTGGAAATTGATGACGAAGTGATATGCTCCCCCATCACTATACGATCTGTATTTGAACAAGTCCTCCTTATGATAAGATATTTCCTCCAAACATGCATGGATTATTTAGGTGCATTGATAAAGATTCTCTTAGAAAACGTTATTCGCATATTGTCACCAAAACGAGATAGTACCTTCTTCGTCCTCACAAAAATATTCAGGACGTATAGGGGCGGAGCCAGGATGGACAAAAAAATTTCTACTTGACTGATACATAGGGAAAAAATGTTTACAGAGATTTTTTTTTCTTACATTAAAAATTAAATGGGCTTGGGGGCTTAGCCTCAGCCTTGCCCCCCTCTCTACTACCCTGAGTATGTTAAACTGAATTAAATCTACGTAACAACTAAAATGTTGCTTGTTTTTGCTTTTTTATGGTAAGATTTTATTCTTTATTCATTCAAATCATTATAAAGAGTTGACGAAATAAATCAAGAAATATAATAAGTCTAGCGAAATAAGAGCTTTACTATGTGTACAAGTGTGGTTCAAAGAGTTTTTACAGGGTAAACATTTGACATTTTTTCATTCATCGGTGACCAAAAAAGGGGGGGAAAGGGCACCGTATGGGTGCTACCAACGAAGCACTTGTATGGGGACTATAAATACAAGGGAAATTACTCACTAAATAAACCTATCAAGTGTAGCAAAACATGCCAACATGCATGCCTCTGTAGTCTCATTCCTATAAATAAATTAACACGGAGCAAATCTACAATGTTGAAGTTTTTAATTTTCTTCTGTTTAGGAGCTCAATTTTCTTTTCGTACTCAGGCAAATCTAAACCTCTATTTAAGATATTTGTCTATAAACAAATAAGGGATGTATAGATTCTCGAGAAGAGAGGAGTCATGATGGTACCCTCGGACCGAACACAAGTTGAATTTTGTATGAATCATTCCATATGTACTCCTAAGAAGGGGTTTGGCTATGTTCAATCCAATATAATAAAGATAACTTAAAAAGCTCTTTTGATTATTCTTGGTCCATGTAATGGAATTGTCTAGCCCTTTTCGGTGGAAATTAAAATTAGATTTTTAATAAATTTTGTTATGAAATGTATGGTTAGAAAATTGTGGATCCCACGAAATATGTTATTAAAATTAATTATTGAAATTGATTTTAATAAAAACTTAGATTTTAAATCAAGACCAATGCTATTCATTCTCACCGGGGTTACAAACACAATTTAGGTGGCGTTAATGTAGTATTAAATGATATGTGTTTAATTTCAATTTTTTTTAATATATCATTTAGTGCCAAATAAACTGTGTTTGTAATCCCGCTGAGAATGAATAACAATACTCTTAAATCAATTAGGGGCCTAGTTTTATAATTGTATTAAATACAAAGTCTTCCTTGGAAAAAAAGAAATACACATTGTACGAATAAACGCGTAGGATGTTTCCATAAGTCAATTACCGCGCATTTCTCACCTTCAATTTCTTAGGATTTGATGACCCATTCAAAGCAATGCTCAAAGTCTTCTTAAATACGACAAATACAACAAAAAGTCAAACAATTCCACTTCTTACATTGCTGAGTTGGAAGTTGACATTGTGATTGGCCAATTCTTGTGCTAATCGGTCGGTACAAGTAAGAATTTGGTTGATGTGTGATAGTTATGATTTTTGACTTATTCCGGCCACTAAAATTGATGTTCATATGAGTACTTTTATGAGTTAGATACTTAATTTTGTGTGTTTATTGATTATATTAAGAGAAAATCTAATGTTGGACGAGAAAGGACGAATAGAAACGAAATTTGTTTTTTTAAAAAAGGATTGAAGTTGGATGAACTCTGAAATTTGGGAATCGAAGTGTACAGTTTGAATGTTGGAGGACTTACATTGCGATATGGAGGACTTGAGCTCAAGAAGAAATGAAATTGAGGGACCAAATTCTTCTTCTCAATTTTCTTTTCGTACTCAGGCGAATCTAAACCTCTACTTAAGATATTTGTCTATAAACAAATAAGGGATGTATAGCTTCTCGAGAAGAGAGGAGTCATGATGGTACCCTCGGACCGAACACAAGTTGAATTTTGTATGAATCATTCCATATGTCCTCCTAAGAAGGGGTTTGGCTATGTTCAATCCAATATAATAAAGATAACTTAAAAAGCTCTTTTGATTATTCTTGGTCCATGTAATGGAATTGTCTAGTCCTTTTCGGTGGAAATTAAAATTAGATTTTTAATAAATTTTGTTATGAAATGTATGGTTAGAAAATTGTGGGTCCCACGAAATATGTTATTAAAAATTAATTATTGAATTTGATTTTAATAAAAATTTAGATTTTAAATCAAGAGTAATGTTATTCATTCTCAATGGGGTTACAAACACAGTTTAAATGACGTTAATGTGGCATTAAATAATATGTGAAATTAAATAAGTTATTTAATTTCACTTTTCATTTAATCTATCATTTAGAGTTAAATAAACTGTGTTTGTAACCCCGTTGAGGATGAATAACATTACTTTTAAATCAATTAGGGGACTAGTTTTATAATTGTATTAAATACAAAGTCTTCCTTGGAAAAAAAGAAATACACATTGTACGAATAAACGCGTAGGATGTTTCCATAAGTCAATTCCAGGGGGCCCAGTACCGCGCATTTCTCACCTACACTTGGAAACGGCACAATTTCTTAGGATTTGATGACCCATTCAAAGAAATGCTCAAAGTCTTCTTAAATACGACAAATACGACAAAAAGTCAAACAATTCCACTTCTTACATTGCTGAGTTGGAAGTTGACATTGTGATTGGCCAATTCTTAAAATAATTTGTGCTAATCGGTTGGTATAAGTAAGAATTCGGTTGATGTGTGATAGTTGTGATTTTTGACTTATTCCGGCCACTAAAATTGATGTTCGTATGAGTACTTTTATGAGTTAGATACTTAATTTTGTGTGTTTATTGATTATATTAGGAGAAAATCTAATGTTGGACGAGAAAGGACGAATAGAAACGAAATTTGTTTTTCAAAAAAAGGATTGAAGTTGGATGAACTCTGAAATTTGGGAATCGAAGTGTACAGTTTGAATGTTGGAGGACTTACATTGCGATATGGAGGACTTGAGCTCAAGAAGAAATGAAATTGAGGGACCAAATTCTTCTAGGATTGAAGATAATAACCGTTGCGATTTCAATGGTCTATTTTAATGCGACAATCATCTAACGTCAATGTTGCGATTGTAAGCAACTACATGGTGCGATCGAAACGGCCAGATGTGAATCAACTAGTAGAGAATAAACTGAAGCTTTATAAGAAATATTCGTTATTCTTCTCATCATTTTCTTGGTGTGTGATGGAAGATAATAACCGTTGCGATTTCAATAGTCTATTTTAATGCGACAATCATCTAACGTCAATCTTACAATTGTAAGCAACTACATGGCGCGATCGAAGCGGCCAGATGCTAATCAACTAATAGAGAATAAACTGAGACCTCAAAAGAAATATTCGTTATCCTTCTCTACATTTTCTTGGTGTGTGTGCGTGTGTGGGTAGGGCGATGCTAATTGGCAAACTTTATTTTTTAAGTCAATTTTCAGATTTTCTCAATCTTTACTAATCGCAAAATGCCCACGTTGGCCCACTTAGAGTCAAACTTGGCCGCACTCACATGAGACAACCGAAAACATTTTAATTGGTAGTTGCACTATTAAAAAAAGTATCAATTATTCGTGAAATTAGCGACGCGACCAAGTCTAAGACCCAATAATGAAGAATACCAATAAGCAAGAAAATTTCATTAAGTATGGTAGTGAAGGTAAAGTTATCGATAATTAACTTAAAAATAAAATTAACATCTGTTTGATTCCCATTTTTAGGATAAAATGCATTATGGAATACTGATTTTTTTTTAAGAATGTGTGATTAAAAGGTAAAGAAAAGTTTTTGAAATGCGTGTATAATTATTTTATTGAAAAATATATGGTTGAAAAAATGGGGTTTAAACAGGGCTAAGAATTGAAACGGGACCACGGATGTAGTCTATAAACTTCTTAATGCATCATCATATCAACCAAATATCAACCAAAATGCTTCTGCAGCTAGCCTGCCTTTATCTCTGTGGACTAACGTTGCTATTAGCCACAGCCACTACAACCTCTACCTCCGCCGCCATCGCCGCCACCAACACCACCGTCGACACCTCCAACATCGCCAAAGGCGCCACCATCACCAAACCAGGCTGCCCCCGCCAATGCGGAAATTTGACAGTGCCATACCCGTTCGGCATCGGCAAAGGTAGCGGCTGTGGGATTGGAGAGTGGTTTGAATTTAACTGCAGCTATGCATTCAACCCTCCAAGAGCCTTTCTTGGTACAATCGAAATATACGAAATTTCAGATAACCAAATGCGTATTTCGAATGTAATGGCGAGAAGATGCTACGATCGATCAGGGGCAGTGGTTTCTGCTAATACAGCCTCTTCTGATATCACCACCACCCCCTTCAGCTACTCGAAACTAAACAGGTTTTGTTAATCTTGCGCCTACAAGTTTAAGTCTTTAATTAGAGAAAGACTCTGTCTTTTCCTTTAAATCTTCTGCTCAACATGCTCCTAAACCGATTTCATTTTTTCACCAAAGTTGAATTCTTGAAAAATTCTGGTATTTTCTGGTTTCTCATACCATGTAAAGCATTATTATGTAAATACTTACCCTTATAGATGAGCTATATGTATTCACTTAAATCCCAAATTCGTATTTTCATTGAAGTCCGATAGATGTACTGTTTTCTTAATGGGTGGTGGCGAGAATTGAGTTTAGGTCTTTTGCTCCCATGTTGACTATTTTATGGAACTCTTATGGAGGAGCTATATGTATTCATTTAAACATATTGTTCAACAGGTTTACAGTCGTTGGTTGCGATGATTTTGCTTTGATAACAGGCGGTGGTGACCGCAATTTCACGAGCGGATGTTTTTCACTTTGTTCCAATGCAGAGGACGTGCTCGATGGATATTGCACCGGTATTGGCTGCTGCCAAACTTCAGTCCCAACGGGGCTAAAATTTTACTTAACTGTGCTCAGTAGTTTGAATAATCATACTAGGGTCTCATCATTTGACCCTTGTAGCTATGCATTTGTTGGTGAGCAAGAGCGTTTTATCTTTCGTGGTGCAAAGGATTTATCTGATCCAAATTTTATGGAAAGGACTCGAGCTACTGTCCCAATAGTGCTAGATTGGGTGATAGGGAATCTGACTTGTGCACAAGCCAAAGTTTCGACAGACTATGCTTGTAAGGCCAATAGTTATTGTGTTGATTCGGATACTGGTTTGGGTGGGTATCGTTGCAGCTGCAACGCAGGGTATGAAGGCAACCCGTATCTTGATCCAGGCTGCAAAGGTCAGCTATATTGCTCTCTCAAACTATTTTGCAGATGTCGTTTGGAGAAGAAATATTTGCTGCCTGTATTTTGTACTGATAAGTGTACCCTTTTTGCCTTTTGTCTAGATATTGATGAATGTGCAGATTCAAACAGCAACAACTGTGAAAAGATTTGCATAAACACTCCTGGAAGTTTTAACTGTTCTTGTCCAACTGGATACTATGGTAATGGCGTAAAGGATGGCCGTGGTTGCATTGCTAATACCTCGGAATTCCCCATAATCAAGTTGGCCTTAGGTAATTCTTTGACTTGTTGATTCCATTTGTTACCGTATTAGGATGTGGTGAATTTCTTGAAATATAATAGATAACGTCGATAATTAGATATCGATATGACATGAATTGTTTTTATGATCCTTGAATCACAAAATTTATGAGATGTTTAGAGTATGTTTGCCCAGGATTAAAATCCAATTTTAATTGAAAATATGACTGTTATTGGGTCTCACTCGCCTAATAAAAGTTAAAAATAACGGCTAGTTTTTCAATTTTAATCCAATTTTAATCTCTACTGAACACTCCGTTAGTATACTGAATTAGACTGCGCTAGGTAGGATTGATAAAGTAGAAAATTAGTTTGTTGTGTTGTATAGTACTCTTCATTTGTTATGTCTCTACGTAATCTAATAAATCTCCAAAATTTTTAATATGGTCATACATATGACTTCCATCTGTACTACAAGGTACTTTATGAATTATTGGTTGTTCTTGCTGTTCTTATGAAATGGTCTACGGTTAGGTGGTATTTTTTTTTTCATATGATATAATTATTCAGTTCAATTTCTTGAAAATTACATGCAGGTATAGGATTTGGGTTTCTGTCTCTAGTTATTGGAATAACTTGGGTATATTTTAGTGTGAAGAAAAGGAAGCTCATAAAACTCAGGGAGAAATTCTTTCAGCAAAATGGCGGTTTGCTGTTGAAACAACAAATATCTTCTAATGACGGTAATTTGGAATCATCGACTAAAGTCTTTACTGCAGAGGAGCTGGAGAAAGCTACCGATAATTATGCAGAAGATAGGATCCTTGGTCGAGGTGGTTATGGCACCGTCTATAAAGGAATCCTGCCGGATAAACGTGTAGTCGCCATTAAGAAGTCCCGAGTGATGGATCAGAGCCAAATAGAACAATTCATCAATGAAGTGGTTATTCTTACACAGGTTAACCATCGAAACGTAGTGAAGCTCCTAGGATGCTGTTTGGAGTCCGAGGTTCCTTTACTAGTTTACGAATATGTCTCTAATGGAACACTCTTCGAACACATCCGTGGTAAAGGGGCATTATCCTGGTTATCGTTGGAGAATCGTTTGAGGATAGCCTCAGATGCCGCAGGTGCACTTTCTTATCTTCATTCAGCTGCCTCTAAGCCTGTTATTCATAGAGATGTCAAGTCTGCAAACATTTTATTGGATGAATATTACACTGCAAAAATATCGGATTTTGGTGCTTCGAGGTTAATCTCTTTGGACGAAACAGAAGACATTGGGATATTTGGATCCAGAATACTTCCACACAAGCCAATTGACAGAAAAAAGTGACGTTTATAGTTTTGGAGTCGTTCTTGCCGAACTTTTAACTGGGAAAAAACCGATTGACATGGAACGAAGCCAAGAAGAACGAAATCTCGCCACGTACTTTCTCATGTCCATTAAGGAAAACCGCTTGTTTCAGATTCTTGAGCTTCGAGTCATGAGGGAAGGGTCTTTAGAACAGCTCCAAGCAATTGCTCAGCTTGTTAAGAGATGTCTTAACCTCAATGGTGAAGATAGGCCTACAATGAAAGAAGTGGCTATGGAACTTGAAGGTTTAAGGAAGTTTACTAAACATCCTTGGACTCATCAACCCGAACCCGAAGAAACTGTGGGATTAATGAATCCAAATGATTCATCAGACCTTTATGCTGCTCCAATGACCTCGACAGATCTTTACACTGTTCCAATTAGCCCTTATACCAACACCAGGGATTTATCCGGACAATACAGTTTGGATAGTAGTCAAATGATGTTCCCTCATGTAAACGACCCTCGATGATGAAAATATCGGCCTTCCTTGGCATTCCTCTACCTATATTTGTACACTTCCTTCTTGTTTGTGCCTTTTAGTATTCATTTGATGCAGTTTGAGTACTTTGTTTGTTCAGTCCAAAGAAATAAACGTGCTGTTTCCCTAAGTTTATGTCGAGCTATGATTTAGCATCACGTTGGTTTCTTTGTTGTAAATGAAAAAACATATCAACTTTAATCAATTTAGTTCTTCCAAAACTCGTCATGATACTAAGTTTACATAGAGATCTATCATGTAGTACATTTGGAATGATAGTAATGAGAAATTGATGGATGATCCATATAATCAGGAGCGGAGCCACGAAAGTAACTCAAGGTGGGCACAATGTATCAATGTTGAACCTGGACCACAAATATCAATATCAAGGAAACCAACTTGAAAATTCATAGCTGCCAAGGCAAATGAAAGTTGAGCAGATAATGTAATCTTGCCAACACCACCTTTGCCAGATAAGACCAACATTTTGTGCTTCACCTTTGCCATTCTCTCTACAATTGCCACCAAGTCTACAAAGAAGCAATTGTATAACATAAAAGATTAGAGTCTAAACAAATTATAAATAATCAGAATGGGGGAACATCAAAGTATGTTCTTAAACAAGCAAAGGTAAGCAAGTAAAACCACAAGAATTTCCAATCATTGTTACTTCAAATTTCAACAATACCCAAATTTCAACAATTTCAATTATTCCGGTATTCATCGAGGACCTGGTAAACATTAGCAATATAAATTCCCAAATCAATAATCTGCACATATTGTCCCCAAATATATATACTTATGTTATGCCGTATATAAAAATTACATTGAACTATCTCAAGTGCTGTAATACCTATCTAGCTCGAAAAAGGCTTCAGTTAAAACCTACATCTCCATTTCAATGTTCCTCGAAGAAAAATCAAAATTGAAAAAAGGCCAATAAGGAGCCACAATGTTTAATTTACATTTCATCAGTTCATTTTCTATTTTTGAAAATTAATTACCCAAAACACATAGGATATATCTCGGTCTCATGAAAAAGTAAACCTTGAAAAAATTATTAAAACGTAAAGGCCATATGGTACCTGTTGAGAAATGCCGCCTGAGGGCGAGTACAATAGAGGCAGACAACACCGGAGGGCAAGGATCGACGAGGACAACAGAGGCAGACAACACCGAAGGGCGGAGGTAAACATCGCCTCCTAGAGTGGAGGAGATTAACAGAGGCAGAGGTGAGAGTTTCAGAGAGACGGACGATGGGACGAGTGAAATTCAGTGACCTGAGGTTTTAAAGTTTTTGGATTGGGCTGGGTAGGTCTTGGGCCGGAAGCAACAAGAGTTAAAAAAAATGCCCAAAAGTAGAAAAAAAAAATGAGTCCAGAAGTTCAGGGTGGGCCTGTCCCACCCCCGACTGTATTGGGCTCTGCTCCTGCATATAATAAAGTGTATATTGTATGAAATCCTACTTGTGATGCTCAAACACCCCGAATATTTTTTTTAATTACTATTTTCGTATGGACCTAAATTTAATATTGGTCATTTAGCAAGTGAAATAGTCCATATATATTCTTGTCATCACACTAAAATCCAAAAGTTAAAGTGAAAAACTTAACTCACTTATTTGTGTGAAGGACTTATTTTCTTTTGTGTATATTTTTTCTAATTTATCGTAATTTGGTTTGGATTGAATATTTAAGTATTATAGTAGTTGATGAAATATATCAAATACTGTTGACTTACTAAAAGTTCAGTCCAAATTAAATAGCCCAAAGAGTGAGACCCAATTGGGGAGTCCAAGATAAAGACTCAAATAAGATTATTGGTGAATGTAAAGAAGGCCCATGAACACAGTAACATCATCGTCCAAACTTGCAAGACTTCCGAATCTGAGTGAATTGAGTGCCTTACGGTCGCCCAAAGCGATGACCTCATTCTCGCCCAAATCTTCGAATCGCCCAGAATCTTAACAAACATGAGATATTATGGTTATCCAGAATAGCAGTTATTGAGAAGATTTATCATATTCCACGATTCAAGGAGTCCATTTGAAGGCGATTGAATGACAAGAGTAATGACAGTAGTTAGAGATTGCAGTTCCACGACAAATTAGCCACCATGAAGAGAATGAGTAGTTATAAAGTAATCAAGCAATTTCCAACCGATTTGTCACGAAAAAATCATCATGGGAATATAAAAAGGAAGAGAAGACATAGAAAAAAGACCCTGAATCAAAAGACTCTCAAATAGAGAATATGTAATTTCAATTGCTTAGATTAACTTTAATTATCCTTTTTTCGTACTCGTGTGCTTGCGCCCCTTAGAGGCATTCTGTTTATTTCCAATTATAATTCTCATCAATAAAGCACCCATTTTTGAAACTTTGTCTCAAGAGGTTTGTCCCTTACACAATAATCTGAATATTTTTTAATTGCTAGCGACTACCCGCACGAAACAATTTGGCACGCCCAGTAGGACATTGGTGTTTAGTGTTGAAGATACAAAAAGTGAAGCATTATGCCTCATAAACATTCTGATAAGGAACCAGCAAGTCAGAGAGTAGTCCAGTCTGTAGTCGAGCAATATGAGGAGGAGCAAAACTCTTCACGAACAGAGAAACAGATCAAAGCAGTCAAGTCGTTACGAACCAATGACAGAGTTGAGTCCTCAAACCATGCGTGCATTGCTTGGAGTACTTACACAGGATGTCGTTGAACAGGTAAATTTACGAAACGTTCATAATATGGAAAGATTTACCCAAAGTGGGAATGCACATTATGACAATATGGCCAAACAACTGAATACATTAAATGAGATAATGAACAAGTTAGTAAGCCAAATGTGTCAAACAGTTATGCCTATTGCAACACACTTTCAAACAAGGACAATTGTGGGTCATAATTCAGCACATAATTCTTCTGGTTTGAACTAAAATCAAGGAATAGAAGGGGGTAATGGAACACCAAACTTGAATGGTGGTAATGGGATTACTAACCCGGGGGATAATCCAATTATAAGAGATAATGTCCTGAATTATGGACAGAACAGCCTGCGCGTTAATGATGGTTTGAACACTCAGTTTAATGGTAATAACGGCCCAAACAATGGCAATTTTATTGCCAACCAAGGACCAAATATTAGGCCTCAAGCAAATCGACCATTAAACCAACCTGTAGGAATTCCATATGATCCCAATGTCATATTGAGGAATTCCATATGATCCCAATGTCATATGATCCCAATGTCATTTGGCCTACTTATACGAAGTCATATCCTGATTGGGTAGATCAAGCATATCCATAACCTAGAGGGTACAAAGTGCCAGAATTTTCATTATTCATTGGTTTAGGAGAAGTGTCCACTCTAGAACACATAGGGCAATTCACACTACAGAGTGGTGAACTAACTGACTACCACAAAATGAGGTTGTTCCTTAGTTCATTAACAGGAGTAGCTTTCTACTGGTTCATTAACTTGCCAGCAAACTCTGTTCAAACATGGCAACAAATGGAACAATTGTTCCATACTCAGTTTTACAAAACTGGATTTGAA